AATAAAAATTATTATTATTATTCTATTATTATTATTATTATTACCTGTTCCTAAAGCATCCGTGATACAGTCACCTGTACTCGGAGATCTACAGTGGTGCCCCGCAAGACGAATGCCTCGCAAGACGAAAAACTCGCTAGACGAAAGGGTTTTCCGTTTTTTGAGTCGTTCCGCAAGACGAATTTCCCTATGGGCTTGCTTCGCAAGACGAAACGTCTTGCGAGTTCTTGCGAGTTTGTTTCCTTTTTCTTAAAGCCGCTAAGCCGTTAATAGCCGCTAAGCCGTTAATAGCCGCTAAGCCACTAATAGCCGCTAAGCCACTAATAGCCGTGCTTCGCAAGACGAAAAAACCGCAAGACGAAGAGACTCGCAGAACGGATTAATTTCATCTTGCGAGGCACCACTGTACACTGACTGCCAATCTGCTACCGGGCCACATTCAAAGTGTTAGTACATAAAGCCCTTGACAACTTGGGTCCAGGTGCAACAGAATACTCATTCTACATTTTTAAGAACTTGATCGTTTAGTGTGGCAGTGCCTCCTGCACTTTGGAACTCCCTGCTTATTGAGATCAAGCAGGCACTTGCATTGCACTTTGTTCAGCACCTTGTAAAAATATTTTAGTCTTTTAACTTTTGTATGTTTTAAAGTAGGGTTGTGGATTTTTCTAGATTTTACCGTTTTATCTTTTGCAGACCGCTTTAAATTTTATTTTTATTTTATTTTTTACAATCCAGCAGTACAGTGGTACCTCTACTTACATTCACCTCTGGATATGTATCCTTCGGGATATGTGCACGGCAAACCCAGAAGTATTTTTCCAGGTTTTGCCGTGCGCCATGCGCAGAAGCCGCACCTCCGGATACAAACATCTTGGGATCCAACGGGAGCTCCGGAATGGACCCTGTGCACAACCGGAGGTGCCACTGTATATAAATTATATCAAATGAATAAAATTAACTTTTTCTTGCAAACTTCAAAGGCAGGGACGTTTCCTTACATATCTTACTCTGTTTCTGAGTCACTTATTCTGAATCGCAGTCATGGCTTTCCCCAGAAGATCCTGGGAAGTATAGTTTGTTAGCTATATATAGCACATGAGTTTGTGAACTGCAGCTGCGAGGGGTTTTCGAATCAGGGAAGTGCACTTTGCTGCTTCAGAATAATAATAATAATATAATAATAATAATTTATTATTTATACCCCGCCCATCTGCCTGAGTTTCCCCAGCCACTCTGGGCGGCTTCCAACCAAGTGTTAAAAACTATACAGCATTAAATATTAAAAACTTCCCTAAACAGGGCTGCCTTCAGATGTCTTTTAAAAAGAAGATAGCTGAATATTTCCTTCACATCTGAAGGGAGGGCATTCCACAGGGTGGGCGCCACTACCGAGAAGGCCCTCTGTCTGGTTCCCTGTAACCTCACTTCTCGCAATGAGGGAACCCCCAGAAGGCCCTCGGTGCTGGATCTCAGAAAGGCTACATGTTTCTGGCACCCATGTTATATGCTACTCATCCAAGCTGACTCTACTTATATGAACAGTATGTGGCCCAAGTTACTGGACGAACCAGCTTCTGGTAATCTGAAATAATTATATTTTTTTTAATAGCCCTTGGTGTCGCACAGATTCACCCTGCTGGTTATGTCAGGGACTAACACCTTGCTCAAACTAGACTTAGGCAGTCTTTGGGATAGTCTCACACACACCTTCCTCGCTCGCTCAGTGTGCTTCAGGCTAAAATGTCATGATCTCTCTTGTAGGCTGGAGTCCAGGATGTCTTCTGACCTGAACCTCATCCTGCAGCTGCTGCAGCGACAGCTGTCTCAAGTGCCACCTGCATATAGCACTATCTCGCCATCCTCCCACAACCTGGCTTTGTATAGCATGAGCATGAGGAGCACAGAACCCGAAACTCCGCTAGGGGAAGAGGAACTGACACCCACAAAGGAGGTGAGTTGCAGGAATCAAAGTCCTTCATTTGCAGTGAGGCTGGTGAGAGAAAGCACCTGGCTTCAAAGCCAGGCCGGAAAAATACAGTGGTACCTCAGGTTACAGGCGCTTCAGGTTACAGACTCCGCTAACCCAGAAAGAGTACCTCGGGTTGAGAACTTTGCTTCAGGATGAGAACCGAAATTGCGCACCAGTGGGAGGCCCCATTAGCTAAAGTGGTACCTCAGGTTAAGAACGGTTTTAGGTTAAGAACGGACCTCCAGAACGAATTAAGTACGTAACCAGAGGTACCTCTGTATTTGGGGGTACATCACGGGGGATGGAAGGACCAAGCTAGTACAGCAATGTGCATGGAACTAAGGGACTACATCAGGGGTCGGCAAACTATGGCTCAGGGTCCGGATGCGGCCCACCAGGCTCGTAAATCCGGCCCGTGGACCCTGCCGCCTGCTTGGTCAGTCCCCGAGCTAAACCGGCGCAGCGCAGAGGCCTCAGCGCGTGGGGACTGACTTCCACGATGCTGGTACGGTTTCGGATTGGCTGCAGGAAGCCACAAGGTCTGAGGGACAGTGGACCAGCCCCCCCCAAAAAAGTTTGTGGACCCCTGGACTACATATACTGCAGCAAAGAACTTTAAATTCTGTAGGGGGGTGGACTTGTGGAAAAGTAGGCTTGTGTGTTCAGTTATCTACAGAAAACAGACACAAATGTTGTACCGTGCTCTTCAAAATATACACCTTGCTGTGTAAACAAGGAGATCTGATAGAACAGTGAAAGTTTTGTATTGAACTTGCCTCCTTGTTACTAAGCAGGTAGTGTTTCTTGGGTATCGTGCTTCTATGCATATTTCTGCAGTCAAGAGTAAGGGTGGAAAGATCTGTCAGTTTCGGTTCTCAGAGTTTCTCATTTTTCCAATCTTAAATTCAGATTACCACATTTCTGCGGCAATTTGCAAACACCCCCCCAAATAATTCTCATGGAAATTCTTAAGCATTTCAGTGCAAATGTCTCTCATTTTTGTATGCAGTTTTTAAAGTAATGTGCACATTTTGCAAGCAGTATCTCCTAATACATTTTGTACATAATTCTCACAAATATATGCATTTTAAGGCACATTTTCCTCTAATATATGCATTTCTGTTGAAACCAGATGGGAAAACTGCATTGGAATAAGTTGGATGAGTGTGAACTTTTAAGGGTGGCGATATATTTTGGTTCTCATATTGTTTTGGAAAGTCAGTGTTTGATAAATTTGTCTCTAAATGTGAACTGAATCCACTTTCTCCCCCCTTCCCAAGCCACTCATGAGGCGTGTAACCCCCCCTTTTTTCCCCCCAACTGCAACTTGAAATTCTCATATTCCTACAGGGGGACTTTGAGCCAACCCAAACACATGCCACTCGCTGGTGAAGGAGTTTTAACTTTGTTCCCTTTCCCCTCCCTCACCAGACTCCGAGCGACTCAGAAATCGAGAAGCTGCAGCTGAAATCCAGGGACTCGTTGTCGAGTGGTGTGCACCTGACTGTGGCTTCTGACGAGACCATGACAATCAGCTCTGAGCAAGAGCATTGCTCACAGACCCTGCCAAACCTAGAGCCTCACCGGAGGGCACCGGGCAACCAGGGACTTTCCCAAGGATCCCGTTTCCCTTCCCTTCCTGAGCACCTTGAGGCACCTTCTGAGCACTTGGACATTCAGAGACACCTCTCTGACCCTTTGCTTCCTGGGAGTTAAGAATCCAGTTGAGCCCAAAGCCAAGTCAAAGAGGACCCTGAACTGAGAAGTTGCTTTAGCTGTTTTTACTTGTTGCACTTGGAGGACAGTACTCATGGCTCCAAGGTGATGGGACTTGTTGCCGTTCCCTGTCCTCTCTGAAACGGGGGCAGTTTAATAGTGGGTTGGCTTCCAAGGTGATTGATTTCAGAAATGGTACTCCATAGAGTAGACTTCAGGTGCACATTTCTCTTACCCCACCCGACTCCAAGAAGAATGGCTGGTTGACTTTTTCCTCCACATCCCCAATCTTGCATCTGTTAACTGTTGGGGTCTGCCTCTGTCAGTGTTTGAATGGGAACTTAGTATGGCGGGACACTGGAGCACTTCCATAATGTAATAAAGTAATAATAGGAAATCTTGTCTGGAGGAAGACGAGGAGACTGCTAAGAACTTAACCTTCTCTTGGGTTGTAGGAGACCAAGAATGATTGTGTCTTTCTTTGATACTTACAACTCGTGTCTGAAGATTCTAGTCATTGTGCAGGAGGAGCCTGTGAAGTAAGGAAGGAAGAGTAAAACGATGCTGCAACTTTGTACATGGGGATATAACGAACCATTTAATGATCTGCCTAGTGCATATTGAGGGCAACTTCATATATTACATTTTCATATATTACATTTTGCATGGACATAAATCTCTGTTGAGAAAAAGAAGAGAGTGTACACCTTGACAGATGAAGTGCAGGATAAAAGGGGAAAATGTGTAGCACAATTTCATACGGGGCTGCCAACAAGATTTTGGGCTTGGCTGTTGTACTCAGGGCTCGCTTCTGAAGGATGCAGTCCCTGGCCTTCTGACAGCCCCTCTGAGCCCTGCCCCAAATTCTACAAGCCAACCCCAACATATTAATATGTTGTCTGTAGCCCTGATTGTATTTGTTTACTCAGAGCTATGTTTTGCAGAGTCTGGTGGGGCTTACTCCCAGAAAAGCATGCATACAACTGCATCTTCATTGTATGAAATGAGCTGGTAAAGTCAGGTGTAGAATCCCTAGCGCAACGCAACAAACACATTTGGGTCTGTGTTAACGGGGTGACTTGTCTCATGTGTTGCCTACCAATTTGCAAAGGAGGGCTGAGTGACACTATTCTAACAAACTGGGGTGGAGGGAACCTGTTCTGAAAATATATTTCCCAGACTTTTTGCAACATTCCAGATTTACCTGGCGTTGGGAAAACATTCCAGGAACAGCCAGTTTTGTGGTTAGCACATCAACTTAGCGTAAAAGGTTATTCTGGACAGTACCTTGCCGTTCTTTGCGCCAGCCACTATGCAAAAATGCAAGTGTGCAAGTGAGCTGTAATTTTTTTTTGTACAGATCTGCAAGGCTGGTTTAAGCACAACTTCAGAAAAGCCTGGAAGAAGGAAACAAACCAAACAGATCACTTTTTGTATGTGTGTATTCGCCTTTCCAATTGAATCCCCATGGCCATAGCATTGCATAGAATCATTGTAACTGACCCCTCAAACCCACCTCATTTTCACCCCTCAGTTAGATGCTGCAATGGCCCTAGGCCACCTATCCAAGAATAACATATTAATCTCCCAGTGAGAGTAGCAGGAAAAATAATAATAACTGTGAGCATTTTCTCTTTTTTTCTTTCTCAGGAGTGTTAGTGTACACTTTGTTAATAAAGATTATTTTGACACCTACTCTGGCCTGATGGCTCCCTACGTCTGGGCTCTGTGGGTGGGGGGCAAACACTGAGAAGGGTTGTGGTTTTTTTCTTAAGAGAAGGGAAGACAAAAAGCAGAATCATGCCCTGTAGTTTCCTGCTGAAATCCTGTAGTTTTTCACACCACAAACGTCCCAGGTTGGTGGTTTGTCTTATTTTTGTTGTGCTCCATTATAAAATCCACCACTGATGCGCTGTTATTGCGTCAGTGACATGCCGCAGAACACAACCATTAAAAACCCTGGAGCATGATGCTTCTGCAAGTGGTGGGCTTTGGTTCAGACAATTTAAAATACAGTGGTGCCTTGGTTTTCAAACGTAATCCGTTCCGGAAGACCGTTCCAAGTTCTGAAACGTTCGAAAACCAAAAACTCAATACGGAAAACTCAATACAGAAGCCGTGTGGCATGTTCGACTTCCGAGGCATGTTTGAAAACCAAAGCATTTACGGCGTTCGAAAACCAAAATGTTCATCAATGGAGATGTTCAAAAACCGAGGTACCACTGTAGTTTTACTTTTATTGTGAAACATATATACCTATATAATCCCAGACCAAGCCAACTAAAACACAAAGTGTTTATAACAGAAAGCTTTTTAACTTTTTCTGCAGGATTTTAAAGCACTGTTAACCATTAAGGCTGTGTGGTGATGATGATAATGCTGATGATAATATTAATAATGATTTATAATTTATACCCTCCCCAATCTGGCTGGGCTTCCCCAGCCACTCTAGGCAGCTCCCAATAGAATATTAAAGGTAAAGGGACCCCTGACTGTTAGGTCCAGTCACAGACGAATGTGGGGTTGCGGCGCTCATCTCGCTTTATTGGCCAAGGGAGCTGCCGTACAGCTTCCGGGTCATGTGGCCAGCATGACTAAGCCGCTTCTGGTGAACCAGAGCAGCGCACGGAAACGCTGTTTACCTTCCCGCCGGAGTGGTGCCTATTTATCTACTTGCACTTTGACGTGCTTTCGAACTGCTAGGTTGGCAGGAGCAGGGACTGAGCAATGGGAGCTCACCCCGTCATGGGGATTCGAACTGCCAACCTTCTGATCGGCAAGCCCTAGGCTCTGTGGTTTAGACCACCGGCGTCCCAAATAGAATATTAAAAACACAATGAAACATCAACATGATAAAACATGTTGGGAGGTGGGGTACAGTATCTGAGCGGGGGAAGGGCTATAGGTTTGATAGCAGTAG